ACTTGATGAATACCACACAGCTAGCAAGGGATGGCGCTAGGGCTGCAATCCCCAGATCTTCCTAACACCATCGTGGACAGTTTTTCTACTGTGTCCTAATATTTGAAGAGTCTTGAATAACATGTAAGAATTTACCTGAGTGAAACAAGGTGGCAGGGGTAAGGAGCAACCAGGCAAAAGCAACAAGATTTGTTTTTCAAGGTTAGAAGTGTAAATTAAATTTTTTTTAATGTTTATAGCAGCTTTATTCATAATTGCCAGAAATTGGAAGCAACCAAGAAATCTTTCAATAGGTGAATAGATAAACAAACTGTGGTATAGCCACACAATGGAGTATTATCCAGAGATTAAAAAAATGAGCTACCAAGGCATGAAAAGACATGGAGGAGCCCCGAACACATATTGTCAAGTGAAAGAAGCCAGCCTGAAAAGGCTAGATACTGTAAGCTTCCAACTATATTGCATTCTGTAAAAGGCAAAACTATAGAGACAGCAAAAAGACCAGTGGTTGCCAGGGGCTCAGGGGGAGGAGGGAAGAATGAATAAATGAGGCACAGTGCACTTTAAGGGCAGGGAAACTGTTCTACATGATATTGTAATTGTAGATACCTGACATTATGCATCTGTCAAAATCCATGGAACTGTACAACACAAGCGTCTAAAACTATGGGCTTTATTTGATAATAATGTATCAATATTGGTTCGTCAACTCTAACAAATGTACCACACTAATGCAATGTGTTACTATATAGGAGAAACTGCGTGCAGAGTGGAGATGGGGTATATGGGAACTCTTTGTACTTTCTGTGCGATTTTTCTGTAACCTAAAACTGCTCTAAAAAATGAAGTGTACTAAAAACAAAAACCCTGAGATCTTCTATCAATTCAGGCAAAATAAAAGAACTTTCCTTTTATTTTATTTTTCTCCATCTATTCCATTTTCTCTTCAGGAATTCATACTGTTTGAATGTTTGGTTTCCATTCATATATCTTTTAAATTTTCATCCCATGATTTTCATGTTTTGTAACTTTCTTTGTATGCTTTGGGTTATTTCTTCTACTTGATTTTTCCAGCCACTAACTTAAGTCTCAGCCATGACCAATCTTTCCTTTAGTTCATCTGTCTCATTTGTTTAGTTAAAAAATCACAGTGTGTGTATACAGCTCCTGATTTGTTACCATACTACATGGAACCTATGCAACAACGAACACCTCTTACTTTATGTGTGTAAATGAATCAGGCCCCAATACAGTGATACCTTCCTATTTTTGTGATAATAATCTTTCGAGATTATTTGTAATTACCAAAGTGGCTGCTAAGGCAAAAACAAAACAAAACAAAACAAAAAAAACCTCCAAAATTTGGAAACAGGCAAAAGGATGACCACATGTCATTTTAGTGTCATACTGGAACACTGCCTAACATGCCCATTTAAGGATTATCAGGTAGTCCAGGAGTATCTATCTGCCTTTGTGTTGATTTACTATTTACTAATAATTAGTGCATTTTTGTAAGAGTAGATGATAATTTATTAGAAAATGGATAGACATGCAGATGATTCTTGTTTGAGAAGAATGCAAATAAATTTTGTTCTGTGGAGATAGAAGTAGTTTCTTTCCTGTAAAAAAGATTACAACACAAAGGTTGCAGTTTATTGCCTGTAGAGAATTTACCAGTTTTATACATAATTTAGCAATCCTATTTATTATTTCTTTCAGTGTCTATAAATACCTCTGCTCTCCTATACTTTTTGAACCAGTTTTACCAACTTGCTGGTTCTTTCATTAATGAGTTAAATAAATCTTTGACATGTGCTCATTAAAAAAAATGATGTGTGTGAAATACGTGTGTGCATGACTTTTTATATCCTTAATAAAAAAACCAAACCAAACCTGTTGCCATTGAGTCAATTCCAACTCATAGTGACCCTACAGGACAGAGTAGAACTGCCCCATAGAGTTTCCAAGGAGCGCCTGGTAAATTTGAACTGCCAACCTTTTGGTTAGCACCCGTAGCTCTTAACCACTACGCCACCAAGGTTTCCGTTCATATCCTTAAGAGCTCATAACTTTTCTTCTTGTGTTTTTCCTCTGCTGAGTCTCTCTCATTAGATGTGTTGTTATTTTTCTTGGTCTTGTTGTTGGGCCTCAGGTCCGGGTGTTGGGGAATTTTCAGCGGTGGTAATCCTGCATCTGGTGGAAGATACATAGATGTCTATGTGCAGACATAGGCCCAGGGGCTGGTAGAGGGCACTCAGATTGCCAGTGCCCTGACGATGCTATCTCCAAGTCGCCTGGCAATGAGCTAGCTGGGACTGGGGGCTCCCCCTAGTGGGACAGGCTATGTCCAAACTCAACTTCCCATTAGACCAGTGATCCCCACTTCCCTAATAAGAGGGACTGTGCATAAATCCAATTTCCCACAAAGTTCTAAGGTGTTAACAGCTGGAATTTCTAGACAACTCCCTGAATACAGGGCACCAAACTCAAACATCCTGGCATCCAGGCAGTCTATTTCTCTGCCACAGGCAAGGCTACTTTCACATTTGCCACATAAAAAGGAAGAACCAAAGAGGAGAAGGATACTCTTTTAAAGCCCAGAGCCATGATGTGTCCAGTTGCTTCTGGCTTAAGCAAACCTCTCTGCAAGATGGCAAACAGAGAGCAGCACCCTGTGAATTCCAGCCTGCACCAGATGCTGCTGCTGGCATTCACCCAAGCTCTTTGCATGACGAAGTACCTTGCTAACATCTAGTCATCCATAATCCTATCACCCATTTTTCCTGAAGATGATTTAATATGCACTAAAATACAGTGTGAATATATGTGCAGAAATGAGATCATGCTATACATGTTCTCTTACAACCCATAAATTAAAATTTTAAAGAAAGGTATGTTTGAATTTTCGTGAAGATAGAATCACATAATGGATGTCATTACAGCCTTATGACCGACTTGAATAGTTGTTGTTATTGTTAGGTGCCATTGAGTTGGTTCGGACTCACAGCGACACTATGTATAACAGAACGAAACATTGCCCAGTCCTGCACCATCCTCACAATCATCGTTATGCTTGAGCCCATTGTTGCAGCCACTATGTCAACCCATCTCATTGAGGGTCTTCCTCTTTTTCGCTGACCCTTTACTTTACCAAGTGTGAATTGTGTTCCCCAAAAATATGAGTATCAATTTGGCTATGCCATGATTTCCAGTATTGTGTGATTGTCCACCATTTTGTCACCTAATGTGATTTTCCCATGTGTTGTAAATCCTATCATGATGTTAATGACATGGATTATCAGCAGTTATGTTGATGAGATCTACAAGATTAGATTGTGTCTTAAGCCAATCTCTTTTGAGATAAAAAAGAGAGAAGCAAGCAGAGAGACATAGGGACCTCATACCACCAAGAAAGCAGTGCTAGGAGCAGAGCGTGTCCTTTGGACCCGGGGTTCCTGCACAGAAAAGCTCCTAGTCCAGGGGAAGATTGATGGCAAGGACCTTCCTCCAGAACCAATACAGAGAGAAAGCCTTCCCCTGGAGCTGATGCCCTGAATTTGGAGTTCTAGCCTATTAGACTGTGAGAGAATAAATTTCTCTTTGTTTTGTTAAAGACATCCACTTGTGGTATTTCTGTTATAGCAGCACTAGATGACTAAGACACCAAGCATGATGTCCTTCTCCAGGTACTAATCCTCCTGATAACATGTCCAAAGTAGGTGAGACAAGACGAGACTCGCCATCCTCCCTTCTAAGGACTTGAACACGGTCCTGTTCAAATCCCCTTGCCTGGTTTATTTATAATGACTTTTAACAGGCCAAACTGTTGGAGATATTCAAGTTCTCTGCATTCAGACACAGCGTTCCTACTCTTTCAGGTGTTCTCAGTTGAGGGGGTGGGGGAGGGAGGAGAGGTGGGAAAAGGAGAGGCTGTAATTGACCTCGTAGTGGCTTCACTGATCATCTCTATGTATGTCATTCTGACTTTCCCAAGCGACAAGTTTGAGATTTGAGCTCTTGTCCTGTCTCTCGCCCATCCTGAGAGTTCCATGGACAAATAGATCCTCCAAGGCTGAATCATTAGTGCTAGTGCCCGGTTTGAGGTCAGTAAAACACACCATCCAACGAACCCAGAACAATCTAATATATTCCTTTCCCAATAGCTTCACCCAAGTTTTATCTATTCCTCAAGATTTTGCCCAAATCATACCTTTCCATGCATTTCCTCATCTTCCAGTTGTAATGACAGTAGTGTGTGTGTTTTAAATGTTTCCACAAAGCTTTGTTACAGATTAAATTTATTTCAGTAGTAAGTGATTTTTGAAAAAAGCGTCTCCCGTGTAACTACAATCACAACGTCAATTAACCACAGCATTTGCTCTCTATCCAGCCTTCATCCATCCCACCAGCGCGGGGAGCAGGGAGCCTCTGGTCTTGTTTCTCCAGCGCCTCGCACGTGGTAGGGGCTCAGCGTTAGTTGACTGAATCAGCGCGGGCCCGGGAGGGCAGCCGGTTCGGGTTTGGAACGCGGCGCCCGACGCATAATTGGTGTTTGGCCATGTTTGGCAAGTCTTTCAGCCCGTTCCGCCTCCATCAACCAAAACAAGCCTGTAAACGCGGGAGATGTGAAAGCTGACCAGGGCCGCGCGCAGCTGGCCAGGCGCTGGCCGCAGCTGAGGTGGGCAGTACCTGGGCGGGGCGCGCGGGGC